TTACTGCCAGACAAACCCCTTCTAGCTGACCCTCCTTAACTTTCTTTGTCTTTACTACTCTCTCTCTCTTTTTTGCCACTCTCTATCCTCACTCCCATTCTCTCCTTTTTTTTTCCCCTCAATTTCTCTCCTCTCTAAATAGAACCAAAAAAAAAAAGAAGAAGAAGAAGAAAACGCAAAAAAGAAGAGAAAAGAAAGAAAAATATAGGTTGAGTGCGTCATCGGTCCTCAACAAGTTCATCATTGTCATAGCTGTGCCATAAGGCATAATGAAAAAGTGAACTGCTTGCCCTTACATTTAGTACTGATGCATATTATGTTCCAATGTGATAGGAAATTTTATTTTGCTTTGATATTTTCTTAGCGAGGGTGAAAACTTATATATGATTTTTTTGGTGTAATGGGAAGAAGACTCATACGTGCCTTCATTAGCGTAACGAGAGATGAAGATCTTGACTACAAAAAAAATGTACTTGTACTTGTCTTTTTTAATGTGACACAAACAATTTGCTATATATATATATATATATATATATATATATATTTGTACAAGTTTGAAACTTCATATATGCCCACTGACTAGCTTTAATTGAAAGCTAGTACACAATGTCTGTGCATTTGTATATTAGTTAGAAAGATTTACATACCACTCAATTCTCGATGCATTTATATATCTAATATCTAAACCTCAACTTTTACATACATGCTACCTTGACTATGCATGAAAAATTGTATTTTACTTTTTAAAAATTAAAATGTTGGTATTTTTTGATGTGATATGAAATATTTTTGTGGTGTAAATGTAGAAAGTAAGGTTTAAGTGTTCATAATTAAATATATAGGAATTGGGTGGTATGTATATAAATGCCCCTAATAATTAGGACCTTAACTACATCACAAACATTGAATATAATATGGGCTTTGACGCCAATTCAAGTGGAAACCAATTGTTACTTTTTATTAAAATTAATACTAGTAAATTAATTTCTAAATACTAATAGGCTCATGTGTTTGTATGTATGTCTGTATGTGTGTGAGTGCATGCATGCGTGGGAAAATATTGACAATAAAAATAAGTAAGTAGATAATGTGAATAATTTCAATTATTCACATACTCATAATGATACATCTTAAGAACAAAGAATTATTATCCACTTTTGAAAATCCTAAAACCCTAGAAGCTTTTGTATGATCCTGCTTGTACTTTTTGTTATGTTATGAACTAACAATTAATTGACATACATCTTCGCTTGAAATCTATATAATCTATCACATGGCACACCGTTACAATCGTCAGAAAGATTTATTCAATTTGATCTTTTGTGGTCAAAAGTTGTGGACACCAACTTAAGCTGATTGATCAAGATAATATTGAAAAATTTAGTTACAAAATCGTAATTGCTAACTGGCTGTCAATGATTGGAATATATATATATTAATATTATTATACAAACATTGATATTTAGGAATAGAGGAAATTTCCAAGAATATGGTTACCATAAGGGAATCATTTTAATGATTGATATAATGAAGGCATTATCTTAATTTATTAGAACAAAATGAAAATATGACACTAAATAGGACACAATGGAGAAAAAGGATTCATGTGGCCGACCCGACGTAGTGGGATTAAGGTTTTGTTGTTGTTGTTGTTGTTGTTGTTGTATATAATGAAGGTATTAGAGGGTAGTGAGACTAACGCTGTGAAAAATCAATTTTTTATTCATTTTGATTTGTGCTTAGAATTCCATTGAATTTTTCTTTTCATTTTGAACTCTATAAGAATGTTGATTTGATTTTGTTTTTATTGAAAAATCATATGATTGTGCACCAAGTTAACTAAATTGGTATGCATTAAAGAGAAATGTGTACCTCAATGGTATACTTATATTTTTGAACTTCACTGATGTAGTTATGATTTGTGTTTAATTATTGAGTAGACTATGAAGGCCTATAAATAAATTCTATATAATTATTAATACTTGGTGTGCTGTAAAGATTAAATTGTTGTCTATAAAGAATTCACTGGCAACAAAATTTTTGTGGAAAAATGATATTATTAATCCGAATGTATGGTAAATCTAGGGAGGATGAAAAATTCGCCCTCGATTATCGAATGCGTTTCATGACACAAACTTTACTGTTGCTTCACATAGGTGAAAAATCCTCCCTTATGCTACAAAGCGCTTCACTCTTATAAACTCTATTTATCTGCTAATCTCACCCAATTTTATGAACTCTACTGATTCCATTAGCTCCAACAATGCCAATATCTCCACTTGTGCTGAAGAGAATGTTGTGATTAATATGTGCTTGAGAGATCCAAGAAAGTTAAGGCTTTTAAGGGTTTCTAATGCAACTGGATGATATAATCTATTAAAATCACATGAATCAGATTTTAAATTTGCATTTGTCATGGCTACCAAGTAAAAGCCCTTGTTTTTTTTTAAAAAGGTTAACTTGACAATCAAGAAATCTTTCCCAAATGACATTCTTCTGATTATTAAATTAAAGAACTTCACCAAAAACATTGAAATCAAGAAAACAAGCACTATTTGATTAGGATTCAAGCTAAAATAAGAAATTTTCTTGCTAAAATTATTCATGCTACAAACCCAATATCAAACTATGCAGACAAAGAAAAGATCATATATCACTAAACTTCAATTTCTAGGCATCACACTGTTTTTGGGAGTTGATTCCCCAGAACTTGGTCGTTGCACTTGTTTTGCACTCGAAGGAATCAACATCTAATTAAACAACACAAGATTGATGAAATTGAAAATCTTATCAAGTAATCAATTTTTTAAATACTTGTCTAAAATATCTTATTTATAACTATATATTTTTCCTAATTTAGATTGTTGTTATCAACCTTATTTTTCTGTTAAATTCGTGTACACAAGAACTAATGCACATTCAAGCTCATAATTGAAGCATCAACTATGAAACAAGATGGGCAAGCAAGTCATTTGAAAAACCATGTTAGTTTCCATGAAGAGAAAAATTGTAGCTGAGCATGACACCTCCACTGTCATGACCCTGGCCTCAGCTTGAAATTAACAAAAGCGGGAACAGATGGTCGTACAGTTAAATGGTGGAATTAAATTTTCTACTATTCCATTTCAACCGCTAACAGTTTAATATTCTCATATTAATTGAAAAGATCCACTAAAAGAAGCAATTTATGTAGCAATTAAATATTTACCTTTTCGTTGCTAACCTCGTCTTTTGTACACATTGGTTCTTCTTCTATTCATTTAATTCAAAAACTCGAAACTTGAAAAAATATTTAAACAACGTAATGAGTCATATAAAAATAAATCAGTGGATCAATTACACTTCTAAACGTCATAACCCAAAAAAAAAGAAAATAAGTATGTTAGTTTTTCATTTTTTACTATAAAAGATCTTAATGTATGTGTCGATGACATTTATTCAATGAAAATAACTAAAACTTTGATATGCATTAACTTTAACTTTATTATTTAAGGATTAATCATTTAACTTTTATTTATTAACATTCACATATGTCTTAAGAGTACCGTCAAAACATAACACACCCCTGACTGATATCATTCGATCGACATAACAGTCGTTATCTAATTTACATGATTATCGATTAGGGAGCTTCAGCTTGATAAAGTGTTTGAGCATTAGTTTGGATCGATAGTTGAGCTTTCCAGATCCTAATGACGAGCCTGAATCAAGCTCACTTCGTGTTTGACAACTTATTGAGATTAAGTCGTAGGACACTCTCCAATTCCCTATATTATTGCCTACTTCATCATCTTATATTTTTCTAATGGGACCCTTCTCTATGTTGATTAGATTTTCTCATATGATCTATAAAATGGCCAGTTAAAAAGGCCGTAATTTTTCTGCTAGTTGTTGAGTCATTAAGAGGTCCAAACTACGTCTTTTGTCTACTTATTGGTTTACTGAGAGAGGTATACAAGTTTCTTTTTCTATCCCACATCTTGGATATCAACTCGTGTTATTCAAGTTATTGGGGAATTGTTCTTTGCCAATTGAAGAAGTGAGGTAGAGCACACTATCTCATTTGCTGATCATCTACGATCTAATTTGAAGTAGATTGTATTCATGAAATACAAAATGCTTTTGGACCCTTTAATGAAAAAATTCTTATTTGAAAGAATTATTTTGTTTTTTTAAGTTTTAGCATAGGATTTGTCATCTATAGGAAACCAAAATATATCGAGAGTGTTTGAATTGTGTATGATATTTGAGATAATAATTCTTCATGACATTTGAGATAATAATTCTTTCTTGAAAATCTTTATGTGAGATTTTTGGTTTCCTTTAGATAACAAATATCTCACATAAGTAAAGGGTGTTTGAGTGGTGTATTGATATTATGAATAAAGAAAATAATTACAAGCAATGCGAGCTTCTTATCTCTTTCTTTCTCTTCTCTATTACCGGTTCTTGGCTTCTAAGAGAAGCACCAAAAAGTTCCATATTAACACTAGCCAAATCGTACAATGCATTCTGAAAATGCAACCACTTAGCTCTTTCTGGTTACTATTAATTTATCTTAGAGAAAAAGGGGTCATTTACTTACATGCCACACAATAATTATGTATTTACATATCTAAAATGTGAACTTTAGTATTTACTGTCATAACACCCATATCTTTAACATCACATCAAACATACTATTTTTATTCATAACTTTATAACATCGAGGTGTTATAAATGTGAATATCAAATTTTAGATATTAGATATGTAAATCTATAAGAATAGTGCGGTACATATGTAAATGTCCAAAATTAAAAGAAGAAGAAAATAAGGGTAATACATTTGATTACTCTATTTTCTTCGAGTCCAAGCAGAGCCTTCGAAACTTTCCTGCTGCTTTTTTTTTTTATAAATTTTCTTACCTCTTTTAAGATGATTCATTCTTAACATCTGAACATTTATTTTTTTTAACAAACAATCTTCAGACTTGTTCATGCCATGCATGCACTTAATACAGGTACGTTTTGTCATCTAAAGTAGAGAACAAGCCGGATGACTACATCTTCATCTACTATCGTGGTAGAAATGACGCATGGGATGGCTATGGAGGAGCAGTTGTGTACACGAGGAGTCCACAACTCCCTGCAACCATAATACCCGAACTTGAAAATGCAGCAAAGAAAGTTGGAAGAGATTTCACCAAGTTCATCGCTACAGACAACACCTGTGGCCCAGAACCTCCTTTGGTGGAAAGACTGGAGAAAACTGTGGAGGAAGGTGAGAAAACCATTATTAGAGAAGTGGAGCTTATTGAAGATGAGGTTGTGAAGGTGGGCAAGACTGAGCTGACGCTGTTGGAGACACTGTTAGAGAGACTTGCTGAGGGATTCGAGGAATTCAAAAAAGATGTGGAGCTCTTCCGCAGAGGCCTGGGCCAGGAAGAAATGAAGCTTCTGAATGATCTCAAGATGGAAGCAAGCCAGCTGGAGAAGGTTTTCGGAAATTCGCTACCGTTGAGAAAGCTAAGATAACTGGTTTTGTGGTCTTAACACGAAGGTATTCATAACTCCATCTGCAAAATCCTTGTTGAATTCAATTTTGTTAAAATCTATGTTGAAGCTTTGTAAAAGTAAAGCACCTCAATTTCTGTAAGGGGCCACTATAATTCTTTCTTCATGTTGAAAAATACTGATTAGGAGGAGCTGGAGCAAGAATCAAACTTTTTTTCAAGGAAAAAAATTATGAATGGCTTCATCTACTGACAATTGTCATATTTATGTTTTTGGTTGGTAGAAGAGTGGATTAAGGACAAAAAAATAAAATATAAAAATAAGTTGTTAGATTTCAGTTTGCTGCCGCTTTTGCTGAGATCTGGTATTTAGCTTTATTTTCTACAGAAGAAACTTTCTTAAACCCAGCCAATCAGCGCAGTTGTTATACATCTTTTTAGTTATATAGCATAGAAATATGTTATTTTGGCCGACCATTTTATCTTTTTTAAATCATCATAAAGCAGATATGTAAAAATCTTTTTGTTAAAATTTTAATTGACTTAAAAAAAGTTAAAAGAAGGATAAAGATGGTTTGGTTTGGAGCAGGGAAGAATTGATGGCAATGAAGATAGATGTAGGATTTACATCTCTTTTAATTTAATTCTATAAGTATTTTAATTAAGTGTTATTATGTAGACATTAATTATTATGATTTGAAACTAGTGATTAGAATTAGGAAGCGTAATCGGGTTATGATATTAAAGAATTTTGGTCTTTGCTCGAAGAATTAAGGTAAATTCTATAATTCTACTTGTATATCTTTTAATTTAAAAGATATGTAAATTCTTCAATTGTTCATTTTGAAAATATTAATAATAAACTGATAGAAGACTAGCAAGAAGGTAAATTGGATATTTAAGATAATAAAGATGTCTCTTAAAGATATGCAAGTGTCAGTTCCTGTCTTGATTAATCCCAAGTTCCGGTACCGAGACAGTATATAGTTGAAGGTATCAATTTTTACAAAATAAGAAATTGCAATATGGTGATTGACACAAACTACTAAATAAATTCATATTTAATATCATTGAAATCTTTGCTTTTATTACATTTTAATTCAAATATTGAACTCCTGAGGGAAAGGCCAAACTGCATAGATAATATACTATTAGGGAAACATTTCTCTTATATTTCTTTAGTCAACTTGCATGAATTTAATCACCATATTCACCATTAGCAAGCTTAAAATTGAGTAACAGACTTAAACACGCAAAATCATTTTTTGCGTGCGGCTGCTTTATCTTCCACAATTACCATCATTTCAACGAACGTAAGAACAAAAAAATTTAGTAAAAAACATCAAAAGATGTCAAGGATATCGAGGATGATGGCGTTGCAGAGAGGGCAAGAGCCCCTGCAGGTCCAGAGCTCCCGCGAGCACACCCTGCAAAACGTGTGCCCGCAAGGTATGAACGCCGCCCCTTTCCTCCGTACCATGCAGACGCAACACACCATCCGCTCATCCCCAACAGCCACGGATACAGTCTTCAGGTCCTCCTCCCCTCCATCCTCCTCAGCCATGGCCACAACTGCAACTCCGCCATCGCTGCCGGATGCGCTTTCAACTGGATCCTCTCCTCCTTCCACGTCCGTCAGAGCCAGAAGCGTCATAAGAGAAACTCTCACCGCCTGCTCTTCTTCCACATCCGGCGGAGTTGCGATGGGCCCGCCAGGCTCAAGGGTAACAGCGCGCACCTCATCCTCCTCATGGATGATGTCCAGCAACGTCCTGCCCTCGTGCTTCTCTGACTCCAAGATGGACGCTAGGGTTACGATGCCGTCGCTGTGGCTTCCAGCACCGGAAGCGTCGTCATCGTCACGGACCTGGATGAGGTCACGGAGGTTGTTTGGTTCCATCAACGAGAGCTGATCAAGGAGCGTCGTCCGTCTTCGCCTGATTTGGAACTCCGCCATGTTTCACTTCCCGAATCGAGATCCGATCAAAGCTAACACTTCCAACAAGATTCACCTTTGATTGCGAGTGTCGGAGCTAGAGTTCCCCTCAAATTGCTGCAAGATTGACGCTGCGTAGCGTGATCTGTGCCAGTGCAATCGATCTCCGGCATAAGATTCCTTTTCGTACTGATGCCTTAAATTGCCGGCACGGCAAAGGGAAAGACCCCACACACAACGGGAGACAAAAGCGTAATATGTCCGATGACCTGGAGAAGAAGGGGGGGGGGGGGGTCGACTTTTCCTCGCGACCTTCTGTTGCGGAACAGAGAAAATGGAGAGAGAGGACTTCCGTTGGATAATTTTAAAATGATTTTTTTTGAATTTATTATTTTAAATTAATATTTGAAAAATAAATTATTTTTGAAAACCGATAAAATTGTCACGTCAGCGTCAGCAGTCATTTTATCACATCAACGGTAAAAAAAAATTAATTATTTTAGTTAAACAGAAATAGCTATAAATGATATATAATAAGGATTAAAAAACTGCAATTAAGAAAATGCTTAGGATACTTTGGTGGTTTGAAAATAAGGGTTAGGATTATAATTAGTTTTCCCTACTCCCGCTCGCTTTCCGTTCCATTAACCGTTAATTAAAACAGGTTCCGTTAGGAGACAAAAACAGTATTGCTGCCAGGAGGGCTTGTAAAATATAAAGACGTAATTCACGGACTCTTCGTCCCTGGAAAGTGGCAAGTAATAGGAAGAACCTCGTTGACCCGTTGGAGTGCAGCTTTCCCATTGGCCTTCTTAGTTTTCTTTATAAGAAGTGTTCTCTATCAATTTCTTGAGCTTAGAGTTTGAATTATTAGGCTATACTAGTTTTTCACTTCTCACTTAGGCCTCTTGAGGAATTTTTATTCGGTACGTGCACCGCATGAACCCCTACATGCGGTACCGAATAAAAATTCGCCACGTGAAATGCGATTCCACGTGGCTTTACAGCTTAAAAATAAGCTTTTTTTATGTCCGACCCGACCCGATACTCATTTTTGACGAAAATTTAATGCATAAGGCCCTTTCCCGGTTATACCCAGATTTAGTTTCGCACTTTAGGGTTTGGAGCTGCCGAAAAGGACTGCTCTGCCGACGACGAGAGCGACAACCGCTTCCAGATCTGCGCGAGTTTAGCTTCTTGTACCGGATATGTATAAATCCTCTCTACTTCTCCATTATGTAGTTTGTTGATCTGTGCGAGTTTTTGCAATCGAGATCTTAGGTATATCGTAGGTTTAATAAGTTTTATTTTTTGATTAGGAATTTTTATTGCATTCTTCTGGGTTTAGGGTTGGTTAGTTTTATTCGAATTTGTTTCTGTGCTTGTGTTTAACAATCCAGATCTTGGCAGTATTCTTGTGTAATTTTTGTTAATAAGGAATGTTGGGTTTATTGAGGGGTGATTGTGATATTATTATGATTTTATTGTTGTGTTGTGCTGTTGTACTGTTGAAGAGACTTTTTTGTTGCGGCTTTATGGTTTTATCGTTGTGTTATTATGGTGTTATTGTCTTTGGGATATTATCTCTGAAGTATTCCAGTGTTATTTTGTAACGAAGGATGTTAGTGTTATTATGGGGTTATTGCGGTATTGTTATGGTTTTATTGTTGTGTTATTGTACTATTGAAGAGTTTTATTATCGTGTGATTATGGTGTCATTGTCCTTTCTATTGGTGTTATTGTGGGGTAATGATTTATAGTGTTAACTAGGTATTAACATTGCGGTATTCTCGTGTTATTTTTATTAACGATTGATGTTGGTGTTATTGTTGGGTTATTGTGGTATTATTATGGTTTTATTATTGTGATATTGTACTGTTTAAGAGAGTTTTATTGTTGCGGCTTTATGGGTTTATTATCGTGTGATTATGGTGTTATTGTCTTTGCTGTTTTAGTAGACACACTTATCTTACTATTGGCTTATTTGTTTTTCTATAACTTAAATCATTCAATGCAGGAAAGGAGGAAAATAGGCGAACAAGCCAAGTATTGTTCGTTGAGATGGAGATATGTTGATAGAGTGTTTCCTGATTTCTCGGAGGCAATGAGATGGAGTTGTTTTGTGATTCATATAATCTTGATCGATAAACAGTAGAAAAATCAGTCGCATCCATGATCAAAGGTTGATGGAGAGGAAGTTTTAGGCTGTTCGCACATCTAAAGTTGATTGAGTTATATAATCTGATGTCAACGCTGAAGATGTGATTTGTATCAAGTAAGTCGTAATGGGTTTGTTAAATTGTGGGAATAGAAGAAAATGTAATTGTCAGTTTTGATGTTCTGGACTTCTCAAGTCTGATGTGAATGGTGTTCCGTCGGGTGAACCAGTTGGAATACCATTCACATGAGACTTAAGAAGTGCAAAACAACATAACTTGCAATAACATTTTATTCTATTTCCACATTTTAGCTAACCCATTACGAATTACTTGATACATATCACATCATCACCATTGTCATAAGATTATATAACTCGGTCAATTTTAGATGTGCGAAGAGCCTGAAACTTCCTCTCAATCAACCTTTGACCATAGATTGGAATGATTTTTCGACTGCCTATCAATCAACAATAAACACTACATGCCAACGCCCTGGCCCTCGCTTCGGCGCATATCATGTATTATACGGTGTTTATTGTTATATGCATCGTTATGCTTATTCGACATGTTGTAATATTGTATATTATTAGTGATTTATTGGAGTATTATTTATATATTATTTCTTATGTAGTATATTGTTTTATTGCGGTATATATATGCATATTATTAACTTATCTGTTTATCAACAACGCGGTGATGTATTATTATGGTTGTATTGTGGTATTATTGGAGCCTTATTGTGGTGGTATTAATGGGACTACTTCCGACGTAATTTTTTTGGTGCCCTACAGTGTTACCGTGGTTTTAATGTTGTTTTATTATGTTTTAATTTAGTGGAGTATATGGTTGTATTATTGTAACATCTGAGGGTTCTTTGAAATTTTATTAATTTTATATCACGTGGGACCCGGCTGTACTCCCGCCCGATAGTTACCTAATTAATTGAAAGAACAGAATACGAAACGTCTATCGAAAAAGAACTCCGGAGCAAAACCGATAGACATACGACCACTTTTGCCATTCACTATTTGTTTAGGGTTTCGAGTCTTCGTTCGTTCGCCGGTCGAAGTACATTCCTCAGTTCACCGCTAGAGTACAGTTGATCAAGATGGAAGCCGAGCCTTCTGAGATGGAAATTGAAGAGAACCCGACGACAGTCGAAGCCGAGGAGCCATTGCCAATGGAAACCGCAGACGAGCCTTCAAAAATGCAGTCGAAGAAAAAAACCAGTGATCGTAAGAAGAAGGTTGCTGAAGAGGGTTCCGCAAGGTATATTTTGTGTTTTTGTTGTTTATTCTTCTTCTAAATACATTTGTTATTCGAAATGCAATTCTAAATAATACCGTGATAACATGCAGTTATTTATTTAGGATAGGGTTTATTAGAATTTCACGGTTGTTTTTTCATGTTCTAAAACTACGGTTCTTCCAGTTAATACTGATTATTGTGGTGATGAAATGCAGTTCCCTTGATAAAAAATGCTTAAAACACAATAATACCAAAATACTACCATAATACCACAACAATACAACCACACCGGAAACCTCATTCGTACGTTAATGTTATCACCGAGATGTAACCACAATATTACCTTAAAAGTATCGTAGTACTACAAGAATAATACCAGTAAAATATTACCACAATAATACCATAATAACACAATAACACAACCACAACGGAAAGCTCATTCGTACTGTAGATGCCGACCATCTGTGGTCAGAGATGCCCTGGATAAAGTGAGGCATTCAATATCCGAGGATATCAGAGACGAGCTAAGAGCAATGAATGTTGTACAGTTTTTTGACCTCCCTCCATATCCGTAAGAGAATGTTTTGACACTACAGATCTTGCAATGTTGGCAGCAAGATAAAATGGTTTTCAAAATTAGAGGGAAGGAGTTGCGGCTGTTGCCCGAGGAAGTTGCCCTGCTAATTGGCATGCCAAACAGAGGTGCAGTGCCAAAGTGGAGCAAACGTCCGTCTTGTGGCGTGGATGCCTAGCAGATGAGGAACAATCTCTTGGACTTCGCAAGAGGGGGGTCTTCTACCCCTTTTGCTAAATTGTTTATAAAATTTTTGTTATCTAATCTATTCTTTTGCTCGAGCAATTTTAGTGTTCCCGAAGGACTTAACAACTTTGGGGAGAACATAGAGACATTTGCCTCGTTTAATTGGTCTGTTGCGATCTGTGATTTTCTTATAGAACAAATCCATTCAGTTGCCATCAAATTATTGAGAAACAAGCCAATTGGATACAGAAATGGGTTCTTTATTTGCTCATGGTCAACATATTGTAGATATTGAACATGGTTAATGTTTACTAATAATCTTTTATGCTTAATATTGTCTATCTTTTATGCAGCTCTGGTTTTTTTAGCATACTTCTGTGGTAACGCTGGCCAATGCTGATGTTAGACCGAGGATGTTGAGATGGCCAACAACTGTTAGCTTGAACTCATCGCAAATAGATGTGGCCTTTAGGAGGCTGACCAGTGAACAGGCAAGTCATTTACGCTGTTGTTCAATAACTTATTTTAAGAATAGTAATTATGGTTTCTGTTACCTGAAATGTCTTGCAGGTCAATGATAAATTCTTGGACCTACAAGAGGAGGAATAAAATTTTCTTGCCAGTCCAGATGAGGGACTTCCTGATGTTTCTGAAATTCCTCAGCCTGAGATTAGATCAGAACCTTCCGTAGCATTTGATATGGGGCCCGTTGATTAAGGGGAAAGAGCCCCAGTACCAATTTTCAATGTAATGAACAAGAACCTAGAATCTCTGATTGATCTTATAAAAGGACAGGAGAAATGGTTCAGGGACCGACCTAAATACAATTACAGTTGGAGTTTCGGGTCTGCAAGACCAGATGTTGAAATTACATAATAAAATGGAAAAAACATGAAAATGACAATGTTGATGTTGGCATAGAACTAGAAGAAGAAGCATATGCCCAGTCCCCCTCCCCTCCTGTATCTACTGAAATCTAACACGCTGAAGCGCAATCTGCCCAGACCCCCTCCCCTCTTGTCAACATGCTGAACAACAATCTCCCCAGCCTCCCTCCCCTTACTGTTATAACTACAATTCTTCATGAGAAATCTTCCCAGCCCCCCGCTGCTCCT